TGCACAGGACCGTTTTATGTAACAGTTTTTCCTAAATCTAATATGTAAAATCTTGCTAATTTAATTACATCAGAATTACACATGGGATGGTTATACTCATGCATTTTTTTAATATGCTAAATTAATGACGATAGAGTTGAACTAGTTGTTCGACAAAATATTATCGATTAGATTCGATGACACGATTTATAAATGTATCTGAATCTAGACTCCACGCTTTCACATATGAAAATCGTCGGAAGTTCCTGATATGTAGGCGGTGGCACGGTGAACTTATTTTGAAGCCAATCGAGTAGTTTATCAATACACTTTTTTTTGACACTGTAGACCCCTGACTTGTTATCTTATAAATACAGGATTTTTCTGAAGTAGGTAAGATTCCTATGTCAAAACCTTTTTCGAAACGTTAATCAGTCAATTTACCGTCATTTTTCTGTGCTGTAATGGCTTCGGCCACATCGTTTTAAAATGACATCTGTAAATTTTTTGTCGTTTCTTACCATTTAAATAAAGTTTCAGTTAATAAACTGACATCAGTGAGAGCATTTATCTGCTTCCTGTCTTATTCGAAGCTTGCATCAAAATTTAATAGATTCTATTTTTTATATAACGTTATTAAACATTTATTCTTTAGTAAATTGTACTTTTTGACATAAGGTACAATGATTCACACATCAACCATATGTGAACGTGCGACATAGTGATGGATGACTATAGTATATTTCTCTCTTATATTTTATACAATTTTTTCCTCCTATTTTCAGTGAAGAAAATTCAATGAATAAAGTTATGTATAAATCTCTCATTGATATTGTTTAATTTATTGTATAATATTTTCGTTTTTTGTAAGTTCTCTTCTGGTCTCTTTCAAAAATAGAAAGTTTTTCTCAAAAATTAGAATGATGCATATTCATAAGGGCATTCTTTTTTTATATCTATGAGAATGAAAAAATCCGAGCATCATTTTATAGTGATACATTTGAATATTTGACAATAAATTTATTCGTTTTATAGATGTATGTATACGTTACGCTATGCTTTATCAAATCTGTGACTATCTTACTTTTACTACATGCAGTCGATAGTCTTAAAACTGTAACAATGATAACATACACATGTAATCCTGATGTAGAATGTGGATGCTCCAAAAATTCAGCTGTTCTATCAAAAATAGTAGGTGGAGAACAAGCAATAGTAAATAGTTGGGGTTGGGCCGTTTCTTTACGATTGTTTGATTCACACATTTGTGGTGGAAGTATTCTCTCTAAATATTACATTATAACAGCGAGTCATTGTGTACTATCGATACCCTCTCTTCGTTACGCATCTATTCATGTCGGTATAAACACACTGTCTCAAACGGGTCAAGTACGAAAGATAGCTCAATCGTTCATTCACGCAGATTATGATTCAGCAACGCATGAAAATGATATTGCAATTCTTCGTCTGACTACTCCATTGGACTTATCAGATTTGACAGTATCCACAATTTGCTTACCAAATAGTACATCAGCTTTACCTCAATCGGTAGAATATCCTCTGCCAGGATCGACTTTGATCGCTATTGGTTGGGGTGTTTTATCATCCGAAAGTAATCGGGTATCCCAAACACTTCAACAAGTGACATTAACCGCAGTCCCAAAAACAGCATCCACTTGTGTCCGTTCCCTATCCAATTCATCAGAACAATTTTGTGCAAGTGCACAAGGAAAAGGTAATAACGTCTCTTTTCTTTATCAAGAAGTCACAGTTAGTATCCACATACATTTGGCTGAACAGAGAGTTGATCCTAATTCGAGTGATATTACAAAGTTGTCAAAAAAAAGTCATACAAAAGATATGAAACATTTTTCTTTCATATCCTAGACACTTGCCAAGGTGATAGTGGTGGTGCGGTAATGCTCTTTCTTTCAAATCAACGATGGCAGCTAGTTGGCGTTACATCGTTTGGTGTGGGTTGTGCATCTCCATTTTATGCAGGTATTTATACTCGTGTTTCATACTATGTGGGTTGGATAAACTGTATTCTCGGTACGAATCATACGTATTGTCCAACACGCATAACTAAATTAGATATCTCAGAAGCCAATAATTTACTAAACTACAATTATCTATTAGTATTATTTACCTTCATCATTATGTATTTATTGAAAAATTAAGGACATTCATATTTTATACGAACATTATTACTCATTATTATACTTCATCAACGATTTTTTTATTATAGTCGGAAACCATAAGCATTTGTTTTTTATTATTAGATCATGTTATACAAACGATAAATAGAATAACTTTGATAGTTTAAACTTGTCACGATAGTGTTACGTATATGAATGCGTGTTGAATAATTTGGTCTTGTAGTCTTGTCGTCTACTTTCGTAGAAAACTCAATAGAGTAATGAATGTGTAAGAAGAAACAGTCTACTCTAATATACTTCCAAACTGTTTTAAGGCGAAATTAACATCAGACAACTTATAAAAATCTATATCGACTATAAACGCTATCACAGTTCCTGACAACTAACAATACTCTTTTAAAGAGTCAGTTTTTTGAAAACATGAAATTCCGCAATTTTGAGAAATTAATTTAGTCAATAGAATTTATACCTAATTGGATTTACTTTTCCATCATTTTTCCGATCTGTACCACACTGATGTGTGATTGCAGATATTGGAAAAAAATGTTTGTCCAAAAATTAGAAGCTGAACAGAAATAATCAAGTGTAAATTTTTGAGTTCAAGTTAAGCAAGGTGGTATTTGCTTCACGAAAAAACTGAAGCAACACACTTCTAACACTTTATTCAGTAGTTAAAAAATGCTGGGTGAAAAATAGTTTGCATAAAATAGATTTGCATTAATCAATTGGGTCAACAATGTAAAAGATTTAGGTTTTTGAATGTTTGTTTCTCACGAAAGAAGTATTTTAACTCAAAACCGCGTAACTTATCTTCACATTTTTCAGAAAACTTTAACTTTAAACAGAACATCAAAACCCAATTTCAGAATTGGGCTTTTCTACATCATTACCATGGATGTCACCTTTAATTTAAGATTAACGTGAGATTCCCAATGCTTCATTTGAGAAATCTGTCGATGTCCTTTTACCATCGAACGAAAGCGTTAATTTATGGTGTGTATTTTAGAGCTTTTCGTACAATTCATATGACTTTTGTTTAAGTTATCACTCGGAGCTAGAAGATGTCTCATTTTGAGTAGAAAGGTTCGTTTTACAATTTATCGTTGTTGAAAAAAGTTTTAGCATATTTTCCCATATATAAATCTCAGCTTTTTAAAGAATATGTTCTTCATTGCTTTTCGTAAACCGCTAAGAACTTTTGCTAAAGCCCAAACGATTACAGATTCTGATAGAGGACACATCGGGCTCTACTACGCATAGAAATGGTATAGAACATGGTGAGCTAGAAAGGACTTTGTTGTCAAAGAGTAAAAAGAAAGATTAATCTTGTTGCCTCTAATTTTTTGTGAACGATTTATAGACGTATATAATTGGTTATATTTTTTTAACTTTTTGTGACTTGTATAGTGAAATTATATTTGATTATGTCTCATTTCTACGGTTATAAATAAAAACTAACCTTTTATAAGGTTTATGTAATACTGTTACGGTATAATAAACCTGAGAAAATAAAAGAAAATACCCGAAATTTAACCAACGAAAGCGCACACATACCCATATACTTAGTTCACCACCAGAAATCAGTCAAAATAATTCTTCCCCGAATTGCAATCTCTTTATTAATCTGTTTACATTTTACGAAATCTGATACAAATAATATAAAATTGACTAGTGGTTCTTGAGTATTGTGATAGCCGTCGAATTTGTGGCACACTTGTGATTTTGACTCGCTGCTGAGTGCGTGTGTTGTGCTATTAAGTTCACTTTTTTGTTGTTTTGGTAGTAGGCTTCGCTGTAGTCATGGTTGTCTTGGTAGTAGGCTTCACTGTAGTCGTTGTTTTGGTGGTAGGCTTCGCTGTAGTCATGGTTGTCTTGGTAGTAGGCTTCACTGTAGTCGTTGTTTTGGTGGTAGGCTTCGCTGTAGTCATGGTTGTCTTGGTAGTAGGCTTCACTGTAGTCGTTGTTTTGGTGGTAGGCTTCGTTGTTTTAGTGGTGGTAGTGGTACCCAGGATCGCTCGGATCCATGACTGATAATACGCAACTTTTGTATATACACCGCTGAAATCTGGTAAGCCACAGCCAATACCGTATGAAGTGATACCAACTAATTCCCATTGATGACTGGATGTAAACATCATTAATGACCCTCCTGAATCACCCTGACACGTATCTAAATAGGAAAACCGTTACTTTTTAATCAAATAAAACTTATAAATGATGCAGTTAAAATAACGAAAGCAATGTTTTAGTTATGCTTTCAAAATGAAATGAATATTATAAATTTCTTCCTGTATGATTATATGTCAAAGTATGTTGTTAATGTTTCAAGATGTACCTTTAGAGCACCAAAATACTTTTAACAGGTAAATATAGCGTTGTAGTTTCGTAACGCTCTTATTTTTCCAAACTATGTCTGACTTCTCTCAAATTTTTGGATACAGTAGTAAGGTATTAGTAATAGGTGCTTGCTAAATTTTACCTACCCTTTCCCCCGCCAGTAACTCCAGCGCAAAATTGTAATGTTGAATTTTCCAAAACACTACGGCAAGTGGCTGCGGTTTTTGATATAGCTTTCACTGTCACTTGTTGTAAAGTGTCCGATAATGTTAAACTTCCCGCTGATAATGTGCCCCAACCAATGCCAACGAGAGTACTCCCGACGATTGGATAATCTTGTGTTTTCAGCAGATTTGGGTCAATAGTTGGTAAACATATTTTTGATATAAGAAGATTGGTCATGTCCAGAGGAGTTTTTAGCTGAATGATTGCAATATCATTTTCAAACGTGACAGGATCATATTGTGGATGAACATATGACTTGGTTAACGATCGTACTATACCGGCTTGCGATTGTGTATCAATACCAGCGACGATTGTGCCCACTGATAATGAACCAAGGTCATCCATACAATGAGCAGCTGTAATAACATAGGAAGCTGAAAGTATTGCCCCTCCACAGATGTGTTGATTCCTTTCACGTAAAGATACCATCCATCCCCAACTACTGGTTTTAGCCGCTTCACCTCCAACGATTTTTGATACAATAGCAGAATTCTTTGAACAACCACACGGGCTTGTCGCATTACAAGTGTAGATTGTTGTACCATCTATTCGCTGTTGAAACAAGCAAAATATTACTAGGAGGCAAATACAACTAACGCTCATATCTCAGTCAACAACATCCGTTTACTTTCTACAGTAGTTTAATAAACTCAAAGTATGTAACTGTAAGAATCACATCGACTCTTCTTGTCTGACTTTTTTGTTTACTGTTTTTTTATTTTTTTCTGTCAATATGAGTAAATTTGTTATTATGTATCATAAATTTTACACTCAATAAATGAGTTGGAAGAAAAATGATTCGATTCTTTTTTCCGCCCCTTATTCAAGTGTAACATTCAACTGATAGCACGTGTGTAGGTAGTCATTTTTTATTCATAGTTAATTTATACACAAAACTTAAGAAATTATTAGAGAGACACTATGGATATTCTTGGTGACATACTAACTGAATAATCGTACCCTATGATTAATTACTTCGCATACTTACACAAATAACGTACAAAAGTTCATGATAAAATCGATTTCAAATAATTACTTTTCTTTCTCTTTTTCTCATAACTAAATATTCTTGAAGTTCACTATAATGGATAGGAATACAAATGTTTCTCATATGTATGATTAGTCATTAGCATCTTTTTTGGCGATATTTTTTCGCTTTACAGGAAAACTATAGGCGTGCTTTTCATGTTGGTTTTTGTGTCGGAAGAACAGTGATGACTGTTCATGGAACATACCTTAAAAATAAGAGAATGTGGAGAAAATACTGTGAACCTGTAATCTTCAGTACTTCCCAGCCCAAAAAACACCAAGAAACAAATTTATTTTGAGATACTTTTTCGTCTTACCACAGTAGGCGTAACGGAGGTATACAACTTTTTCCGTTTGGATGTAAAAGCAGAGTTATTTCCCTTCAAAATAAAACAAATCCTATCTCAAAACGTTCGATTTTAGTTCAGTTAGACAAATCGTCTCAGGTGTCCAAAACTTCGACCTGAAATGATGATTTTTGACAAAAAGAAAAAGAAAACAAAATTCGCTTCTAACTGCTTTTCGGCCTGTTCACGTAAGATGACATCATTAAGTTTTTGAAAATTGTTTTTCATGGTAGAACTGATATGAGTACATCACTAAATGTGGCTTTTTTTTATTATGAATAATATGACATTTTTAAAAAATAAAAATAAAAATTTGATTGAAAAAATTTAAAAGTCACACTATTCCACAGAGAATTAAATTCTCTACAAAACGGCTCATTTTTTTTGGAGTTCAAACGCTCATAACAAATTTTATAAGCATTTTAAGTTTTTTACAACTCGAAAATTACTTTTTATTTATTTTTCACTTAAATGCCTTCCATCTATGACAAACTCTACAGGAAAGTGAAAATTCGTGTTTTGTGATGTTTACTCTGGCAAGAAAGCCGATAAGGGCAAAAATTTCTGCGGAACAATGTTACGAAAGTAAAATGATTATTGTGGGCCTGCAGAATTGAGTTGAAAATAATTTTTTTAAATCGGATAGCTCATCGATTAAACTACAAAGTGACTAGAAAAGAAAACATTTTTATCATTCGTTTTGCGAAAATTTGTAAAAATCCCCCCAACTACCTGAAAAAAGGGCCTTTTTCCGTAACAGCGTTATGTTCTTTGTTTTGTCCATATCTTTTCCTTTTATATATCGCAAAATGGAAGGAACTATATTGAAAAAACTATTTTTTGAGCTGCGACGTATTCAAGATTACAGATTCGTAGTATTTCCTCTATATCTTCTTACTTTTAAGATATGCAGACAAGTGTTTAATATATTTTTGTAGACAATCAAATAGCGCATCTTTTAAAAAAATAAAAATTTTATTATATTTTAGACTGAGATATATGCAAACAAGAAAATGAACAATTATTTAGAGACATCCGATATAATTTCAGAAGTTTTTGAAAGTAGCTTGATGTTTATTAGGTACATATGAAATGGTTGAATTTTCGATTCAAAAGAAAAAAAAGTGTCATCCTTGATAACCAGTGGTGATGGTAATGCACAATAGATGGCATCATGTTAGTCAAACGGAGTCTCATGCTAGATTCATGATGATAATCAGTTCTTTTACTTTGTTCACTTTTTTCTGTATTTTCTTCCTTTCAATCCATTCCACAAATTTGCGTTTAGATGATAGATTATTTTTGATATCCATACTGTACTACTAATATATTGGTGTGTGATTGTTATGTAATGTGGATCACTATATCTTTCTTATTCAAAAGGATTTTCTGACTACAAACTACGCGATTTACAACCACACTAACCAGATCTGTCACCGCGTCTGCATTAAACACTCTTTGAATATGTGCCATTCTGCATGAAATAGCACTAAGTTGCCAGTTAATTAGCCTGCATCCATGCATTTGATCGCCTAAACAAAAATATTGCGTCATATTAAGTGAAAAAGTCTTAATTCAAACGCAAGACTATGCTAACGTCATAATACAGTGAAACATGAGAAGGAACGATCAAAGACGTTCTTCCGATAGAATTTTGGATTATCCTGTTTTCATAAATCCAGTTTCATAAATCATACATTTATGAAACTTTTAACAAGTTTCATCAAATTTTTCATTTTTATGTAACTTCTGGGTTAAAAAATTCAACATTCAAGTTTCCTTAATTTTATGAAACTTGGAAACAAGTACAGGTCTCCTCATAAATTCATAAATATGTGATTTATGTTGTTTCAGGTTCAATTAATTAGTTCCTTAATTAATTATAGTACTAATATCAAATAAAAATATGGAATTTTATTCCAAAAGTGTATATACAAGTCTCTAAGTGAGATGTGAGTCTCTCAGAGATATATGCAGTTACGGGGTGATCCAAAAAAAACTTACCCCCTGTGTATTTATTGACTTTCTTGTGTACAAATATAATTGAAGTTTTTACCATTAGTTTATTCGAATAGAGCACAGATTTCTGAACGACACCAAAAATAAATTTCGATTCACTCTGCACAACACTACGTTCGGACGCCCGTATATCGCCGCTCGCAACTGGCTATTTGATTGCTGAATCGAGCAATTGCGTTAGATGCGAATTCACAAGTTTATGTGGCTTAATAGCTTCTCTAAATTGGTCTGTATTTTCTAGTGATGTGTACGGGTATAACTTTTCAATACCCATACCTATTCGACGAGTCGGATACGGATCCGAAAGAAGCCAGATCTACGTTTATCCAAAATGGTTAAATCGGTATGGAATATTTAAAATTTGTCTTTAATTAAACACTATAACTTTTGCTCTGGGATTAAAAGCTTAGCAGTTGCTTTACGTTTTTTTTCATGATTTTCAGCATTTTTCGAATATTTCAAGGAAAAATTAAGGGTGGATCTATTGACACCACTAAGCGGTGACAAGAAGAGCTGTTGATACCACCGAGTGGTGGCATGAAGGGCTATTGACATCTCCAAGATTTAGGGACCGAACCAAGGCTTGCTATCGAAGAGGTGTAAAGAAAAGTTATTGACACCTCCATGCTTAGAGGTATTAGGAAGAAACACTCAATGAATTGCTCTAAATTACGTTTCGTACTGTTCAACGTAGTGTCAATAGCCCTTAGTGCCACCACTTAGTGGTGTCACTAGCCCTTCTGACACCACCGGTGGTGTCAATAGCAATTCGAAAAAATTACATACACCAACAATATCATTCTCCGTCTGACACTAATGTTACCGACCGTAGATTTAAATCCACTAGATCCCTACGAACGGGCAAAGAAACATCATTTTCACCCAACAAAACGTTTTTACTTTCCCACGTAGTGGTCTACTGTTAAAATAGCGCTGATATATAGAAGCCCTTTTGCTCCTCGCTAAAATTCTATTTATAATTCAAACACGTAAACACCAGACTGAAAAGAGAGAATACAAGAGAGACATTTGCAACGGCGCTGCGTAGTATACTTAACTACATTTTATTTAAAAAGATACACACCCACACCATCTAACATTACATAAAGAGAAAATGCAAAGTTTGCAGCTGAATTAACAATAACTTAAAATTTGTTCGCTAAGCGAAGGTGAGTGCTGGAATAATTATACTATTACATAATTGCAATTATTTCATTTGATCTACTGATGCTACTTGTTCTTCAATTTCTTTTAATTGTCGTTTTAATAATTGTTGAAACGTCTCGGGCAATGACGTCGATTTTAAAAATGATTCGTATTTTTCAATTAAATAGGATTCACCACGCTTAATTTCAGCAATAACTGCTTGACGATCTGAACCTGTAACCAATGTTTTAAAATCAATCCTGAAATAGAAGACAAAAAAGTTCACGGTATTCAATCATATATCTGCACGCATCATTAAAGTCTACACGGTCTGATCCGCCTAACAAAAACCTGTTGTTTTTGATAGACGTTTAATTAGCCTTGGGTATGTTAGGTTTTACACTATTTATAAGCATCGCAGTTTATTAGTATTTTTTTATTTGCCAAGTTTCAATAGGATATTTCTTCTTTTCATTTTCGCTACGACATGAAAACTCGATAGGGATAAGTTATTGGTTGGAAGGAGACTCAGAAAAATTAAAAAAAGAGAATCTTAACACCCAAAAAGTTAGCCTAAATCCAACGAATCCTATGTCAGATGCAATAGTCTACTCACCATGTTCGATGAGCGGCTGCTGTCATCGATCCACTTTCAATAGGCTGTACCCCGGATTGTTTTATTAGTAAATGTAAATCTGTTACCATTTGATTTCGACGTTGAGCAATAGTCAAATATAATTGTTTTAATGTCACATCTTTAACATCTTCCGAACTTTTTTGGTAACCATCTCGACTATCGTATAAATATTCTAATATTTCATTGCATTTTTTGACATTTTCATTCGTACATGTTGCGCTCGTACATGCTGTGCTCGAACATGATGTACATTGTTGTGTTGACATTTTTTTACAGCTAAAACAATAGGCAAAAACATTTTTAGAAAGCCGTATTTAGCCCGAAATGTCTACTTCCAGAGTCTGTATAATTTTCTATCCTATAAGTGTTCTTTAAGATTTCTAGACGTTTTTCAGAAGTCCTGAAAACCAGTTCTGTTCAAACTTCACACATTTCCCATCTGTCAGATTTGTCCGCGCCAGGTAGTGTTTAAAAACTAAGTCTTCTTCCTTTCTTCCGCGAATACTCTTAAAAGGAAATCAGAGGAAGATCAGTCCTTCAGCTTTAAATAAATTGCATTTTATTCAAATGAATGTCGTCCTCAATTGGCATAAACTGAATTAACATTTTGACCTTAAAATAAACGCAATAAGTGCGTCGGTAACCGTTTCTTTTGAAGTCGACTCAAAGTTACTACCTTGTTATTGAAAATCGAATATACTTAAACTGACGTAGGTATAACCCTTTACGGATCTTTGAAGGGTCTCGAGATAAATTTTTAGATTTACATTAGATGAAGAACTTTACACATCAAATCAGAGAAAAATTCATAATATATTTTACATAATCTCTTAGCGAACGCCAACAGACTGCAGGTAAACAAAAGACGATTAAAAATTGGAGTCCGTTTTTGCCCTCGGACGGGTGACCAAGGCCAAAAAAGGTCTAAGCAAAAGTACCACTTTTGGACTCTTCGCCCTTTACTGACGTCAGGGAGTACGTCAAAACGTATTCTCAGACATTTCTAAAAAGTTGTGGTTTTCCAGACTAGTCTGGATGCTAGTCAACCACTTCTGTAGATATACGTTCCTAATGTCAAGGGACAGAGCAAGTGCAGACGAGCGTTACCTTGTAGTATTGTTTATAATGATATATATATTCTCTTGACTTTTCTCTTCACGTTATGTTCTCCTGATCTATAGTCTATTATATAGTCTAGGATTCTTCTATTATATAGTCTAGGATCTTCCCGAAGAATTGGAAGGACCATGCGTAGTTTCCCAAAATGGCTGCTTGGTAAATCACAGACCCATCAGATAAGACTAACGCACTAATGCAAATACAGTAAGAAGGATAAAACAAAGTAATAATAAAGCAGAGAAAGCTAAAGAAAGCAGAATGAAAAGCATATGAGCGGTCGTTGTCCTGTTTAATAGTATATTATATTTTAATATTTGGAAAAAAATAGATACAAAGCACATCTATGTAATTTCGAGGTAAATATAATTCATATTCAGTTGGACATTCATTTCTTAATATCAGTTAATACTGGAAGTAAGATGGCATATTTTTCAGTGACAAGAAAGTTTTCTGTCTGCTTTAATCAAAATTAATTAATACCATTTAAGTGCGATCGCTCTTTGCGTACTTTCAAAACTTCTTTTTCTTCGAAAAATCGATTTCAGATAGAGACTTTGGAGTCAATTTTGATATAAGTTCTCTCACAGCTGTGTGACCAATAACAAATTCAACAGAATTAGATCCAGATCAGTGATTTGAGTTTAGGAGCAGTGCAGCGAGAGCTATTTCTTCTTTCCGAAAAAATATTTTCTCTTTTTTCTAACATATGTTGAAAAAGTGACTCGTACTATCTTGAACGGACCTTGAAGAACTTTTGCCTCTAGCCAACGGTTTCCATCTTCTGATTCTGACGTGTCGCTTCGTCTCCTAAAAAAATTTTCTGATCATCAAAAGGAAGATATTACTCGATCAGAGTTGCCAGATGGTCCGCATCTTGCGGACAAATTCGTGATTTTTGAGTTTTTCCGCAATTTGTCCGCTATCTGCTATTTCTCAGCATTGCTTCTGCTGTTATTCCTCTGAGTTAAAAATTCGTTTAACTCATCGTTATCATGCACCGAAATTTATAATTATTTCTTATCAACGCCAGAACTGCTTAAACTTACTCATCCCTAGGACGTTTAAAACGGTGTAATTATCTATTAAATGCCAGTTAATAGCTGATAAAATAGTCATTAAATGGTTATTTTTACACGTTATAAATGGGAACGTTATAATGCCTTGAAATGACATTTTTTAACAGGCTGAAAACTGTCTGAAAATAGGCAGTTAATAGCATCATGTAATGATCATTTTTGCACCATTACCGGCTGTTAACAGTCAATTATCGAACGTTTTCTTTGATTAATTTTTTTGATTTGTATCCCAAATATAGTGATTTCCAAAATTTTTGACATTTATGGTACCTTAGACCCAGGGTGCCATCAATGGATTCAGAATCAGCGGCGATGTTCACGAGACAAGTTTCGATAGGTATGCACCAGTTACAGTTTTTTACCAGTTAACTGTAACTGTCAAAACTGTAACTGCTCATAACTGTAGACAAATATTCTAGGGTGAATTAGTCTTCTACGATTTGGAGACATTTTAAGAACAGAGACATCCTTAAAATGTATGCAAATCGTAGAAGACTAATTCACTCTAGAATATTTGT